AGGTAAGCTATGGAAAGGAAGGCATACGATTGAGTCAACAAAAGTATGCAGAAGATCTAGTTCAATTAGCCAATCTTATTGATCATAAGAAGGTTCATACTCCAATGGAAGTGAATACAAAATACAAAAAGGAGGAAGGAGAGATTTTTGGAGATCAGACCTTGTATAGACGTCTAGTTGGATCACTTATATATCTTACTATGAGTCGTCCTGACATCTCTTATGCAGCACAGGTGTTAAGCCAATTTGTTACCAAGCCTTACAAGATGCACTACACTGCTTTGCTCAGGGTTATTAGATACATAAAATGTACTGTAAATCGGAGTCTCTTATTCCCATCATCTTCATCGTTGGACATGGTGGGATACGCTGATGCAGATTGGGCAGGATGCCCTGATTCAAGACGATCCACTACAGGTTGGTGCATGATGCTTGGCTCGTGCATGATCTCTTGGAAGTGCAAGAAACAATCTCGAACATCGAAGTCATCCACAGAGGCAGAATATAGAAGTATGTCTGCTGCATGCTCTGAAATCATTTGGCTGCGAAGGTTGCTATCAAAACTTGGCATCGAAATGAAAGGATCAACCACATTGTATGGAGACAACACTAGTGCAATCAGAATAGCAACAAACCCCGTTCATCATGAAAACACCAAGCACATAGATGTAGACTGTCACTACATTAGAGAACTGGTTGAAGATCGGAGTATTAGCCTGAAGTATATATCCTCTAAAGATCAACTGGTTGACTTATTTACGAAGGCCATGTCAAGAAGTAGACACAATTATCTGTTGTCCAAACTCATGTTTTGTGATACACAACATTAGTTTGAGGGAGGGTGTTGACTATACCTTATTTATCGACACTAGATCAGGGATCTCCCCCAAAATCAGGGATCTCCCATTATGGCTAACGGTCATTAGCTTGAAATCAGTAGATAATTAGGACTCTATTACTTGTATAAATATCTTGTAAATCCTACAGTTTTATTATTCAATAAACATATCACAATTCTTTTATCTCTAATTGTTTTGGATCTCTATCGTTATTCAACTTGATCTTCCGCCTTATCTCTGTTTCTTGTACTTTATGGGAATGTTATACAAGAACAATAACAATTCAGTATGATCCCTCAATTAAGATCTAAAAAAGGTAAATTATATGTATATCTTATACTTACTTACCTTCAAATATTTGATTGGTCACTTTCTCAACAACAACAAGAACATACTTATCCATTTTGGGTTTTGGGATATTGGGATTTGCCAGACTAGTATAAATCCTAACTGGTGGGAAATTTTGGGCTTACTTCAAAGCCTTCAAAGATAAAAATTGTTTTCACTTTTATTTTATTAAAAATAAATAAATAAGATGTTTTATTTTTTTTTCATTCCAAATAACTCATAAAATTTCAAACACAATTTTAGTTTGTATTTATGGACAAACATAATTTTATTTTTAAATTTTTTTTTCACTTTAAAAGTACATTTTTTAAAATACTTATAATTTTCATGATCAAATACCCCTTTACACGCATATAAAAGGTACTATAATATAGTATATATTGATTAATTATGGAACTGGTACATAATTAATTAGCCAGGGCTTGGACCTACTTTTGTCTTTGTTGAAAATTTCTTGGAAATTTGAGTTGGGTCATTCACATAAATGTTCCTATGGGTGGTCTTTAATTTTTTTTCTTGTTAAAATTGTTGATCTTTAATTTTTACCCTTTAAAATTTTAAGTAAAAAAAAATTCAAAAATGTCCCTAAAAGCAAAAAAACAAAACAAAACAAAACAAATTCCAAGGCACAAGTTTAGTTAAATTATGCCTCAGGCCTCAGACATAAGTTCAGTGACTCAAATTATGCTACAAGACAAGAAAAATTATGCCTAAGGCACAAGTTATGGCCAAGGCATAAGTGCAGACGTGGAGTGACACAAGTTATACCAGAAGGCAAAAGATATGTCTAAGACAGAAGTTTAGTATCTCAAGTTATGTCACAGGGCATAAGTTCAGTGGTACAAGCTATGTCACATAAGTTTAGTGACTGAAGTTATGCCCAAAGACATAAGTTTAATATAAAAGTTATGTCCCAAAAAATATGTTCGGTAACAAAAATTATACCTTAAGACAAAAGTTCACTAAAAATTCTACCTTGTTATGCATTAAGGCAAAATATTTTCTAAAAAGTTTTATTTGCTGAATTAGTTGTACGAATTTAACTTATAGTTATGAGTACTTTGACCCATAATTTTTTATTAAATGAACACAAGAGACAAAAATTTAAAATTATAAATTTAAGAGACTAGAATTAAAGATCGCCCCAAAATAGAAACGTGAAAAAACTTGTTTTGGACTCACTCTATACGGCCGAACTTGCCTTATTTGCGGGCCTGTATTGAACTCATTGTATAGGGTTAGGCCGGCTAAATTCATAATGAATGGGCTCATTCAAATTCAAACTATACTTTTAAATTTAAAGGAGACGTAGTTCACTATTATATATACTATTATAATTAAGTCAAGGGATGAACTTTTTATTACTACAAAGTTATGGTGCACTTTTGCTCGACGTGACCAAATTGTTGATGCTTGTAAACTCAGTCTTAGGTAAGCGTTATATATTATACAGACAATTATAAAAAGGTCTGACTTATATATAATATGATCTCCACACATAGGGGTTTGGCCGGAAATTTGAACTCACTCTATGGGGTTAGGCCGGCAAAATTCATAATGGGCTCATTCAAATTTAAACTATACTTTTTTTAAAAATTACAATTATTATTTAGGTGAGATAAAAATGGCTTAATATATAACTAATCTTTTGAATTTGTTAGAATATACTAGATAGATTTTGAACTTTTAATAAAGTATTTTAATTAGATATTTTTAATTTATATTTTTTTTTAAGTGCATATTTTCATTTAGTTATTAAATTAAGTTAATCACATAAAATATGTCATTTCCTATTTTAGAGTGATCTTTAATTTTTGTTTTTCAAGTAACAAAGTTGTGACTGAAAATAACCTTGAGTTTAGTTTCAGAACTCACAAAATTAATGCCTCTTAGTCTCTAAACTTATACAGAACAAGACAAAATTTGACAAAATTCACAAGTACAAGGTATGCCTTATAAGTCATAAGTTTAGTTTCAAAAATCCACAAAGTTCTGATTCTTTGTTCTCTAAACTTTTGCAGGACTATGCAAAAAAATTCTAAATATGCCTTGTGGATTAGAGGCTAGTATACTACACAATTTATGTTGAACCTAAACTTTTGCCTTGCAAAATTAAGTTATAGTCAAAGATATTTCGACCCACAAATTTTCATCAAATAAAAAACATGTGCAAAAATTAAAAATTACCAATTTTAGAAAAATAAAATAAAATAAAGATTACTCCAAAATAGGAACAGGAAAAACTTTTAAACTACAATAAATATCATATTATTACTTAATCAAATTACCAATAATTGCATATCAAGATATTACATCTATTTATTACTTAATCAGTAATTTGATTCTTCTCCCTCTTATTTAAATAATTTGTTTACCTTTTTTGGAAGTGAAGTTTGACTTTAGGCGTGAAATCTTATTAATATCTTATCTATAAATAAGTGCTCTTTCCACTCTCAAATTTTAGATCTATTTCATATGATCAAAACATTTCAACAAAATATAAAAATGCAACAAGTAACATTGAACAATTGTGACAAGCCCATGCCGGCAATTGGCATGGGAACTGTTCTTTCATCTCGGCCAGGGGCGGACCCATCGGAGACGATGAAATCCGCCCTATTAGAGGCCATTAAAGCCGGTTATCGCCATTTCGACACCGCGTTTATTTATCAATCGGAAAAACCTCTAGGAGAAGCCATTGTTGAGGCTCTACATCTTGGCCTTATTAAATCAAGGGATGAACTTTTTATTACTACAAAGTTATGGTGCACTTTTGCTCAACGTGATCAAATTGTTGGGGCTTGTAAACTCAGTCTTAGGTAAGTGTTATATATTATATTGTTTCGATTTATGTGACAACATTATTATTTTCAGAGTTAAAAGTAACTTTTTTAAAATTAATTACATTGAATTCTTCAGATATATATTTCAATTATGAATACATCTTCTATATTTCAAAACCAAATCTTTATACCTTTTATATTATGAAAAAAAAATTACACTTGTAATTTTAATTTATTTTTACACACTTAGTTATGGATATATCTCATGGGGTTGGGGGAGGGGATATGTAAGTGTAATAAGTGTTCGATTATAAAACATAGAGGGTGTATCTAAAATTGAATCATATACATATTTATAATTTTAATTCATTTTTGGGATAAGGGTCTGAAAAATACCTTAACTTTGGTCGGATTTGCTGTTACGATATTAAACTTTCATAAGGACCTGTTACCTCCCTAGACTATTTAATACCGTATTTTTATCATATATATT